AGGAAAAATTGAAATCACATCATATGACCCCTTTAAACAATTGTGTGTAATTTTGCTTGGTTTTGTATTTTGTGTTTATGTAACTTGTATTATTGCAACTCTTGTTTTGGCCATGAAGACAGCTTTAGATGCTGATGGTAATAAAATAACTACTACAGCTACATACTATTTACTAAATTAGAAATAATTTAAAAATGGAAAAAGAATAGAAAAAGTCTCATATGCCCATACTTTTATTTATATATATATATATATTTATTTATTTATTTTAAAATCTTGATTTTTACTTTAGATGGCAGATTCCTGATTTTGGAATTTTTCAGGACTGAACTGAATTTTTAACAAATTAAAAACATAACTACAAATGCACTCTTCATAACATCTAACATGTTTGCAATGTTTGTGGAATTAAATGTTCAAAGACTTGCTTAAATGAAATGTGCTTTCACTGAACGCCGACGGTATTTGAGAAAGCATTATTGCGGTATCAATAATAATGGAAAGTCAAACACTATAATGCTTTTTTATATACCATTTACTTTCTATGCTTAATATTTATGTTAATAATTTATTAGACTGAACTGTTCAACAAAAATATCAAACTACTGAAGACAGAGAATGGCTGTCAGAATAAAAGTCTCACTTCTGACACTAAACGGCCAAACAGAAAAAAAAACTGGCCCATGCAGAAGAAAAAAGAAACTATCGGCTGATTTTCCAAAAATCAGCTGATAGCATCCTATCATCCTTTTTGATAGGATATATACTGGTCGACCACTGTTATTATTATTATTATTATTATTATTTTTGGCTCGTTTTTCTTAGTTCCCCCCATTTATATGGTTGTTATTGTGGGTGATTAAATTCACTGCGTCACGGATTCCGACTAAATTCAGAGCAGGATTAATCTATTCAAACACGTAACAACAATAAAAAAAGAATTTGATTTTAGCTTGAAATGAATGAGTCTGTTTGATCCTATTTGATCTTATAAAATGGTCTGCAGGATTAACATGACCTTCACTGGCTCCACGCCAGTTACCACATGAATCTGTCTGTCTTTTATAGCGGGATGCAACACTCCCACGCTCTTCCTCTGGGTTGTGACAACACCTGCTGGAAATCATTGATTAGTCAGCACTAAAGTTTATAGTTATATTTTATCTCCGGTGCAACCAGATTACCTTCAAAGCACACTGAACCTTTTCTTTCACGTAGTTGTGGCATTTATCCTGTGCCAGTGCTGAATGATGTGTGCAGATATCACAAAGGTTCATGGGATCACAGTACACCGCTATTACCATGGCACTGGAGCTGCATCATTAATCAAAATAAAACCAAAATTGCAACATGGTTTAGTGTGATTTTCAAATCAAGGCTGTGATTTCATTTTTTTTTTTTTTTTAAATATATGCGCTGCGTGTTTCAGAGTGAAGCATGGCACTGTGTTCTTACACGTGAACGGCTCATTATCCACCGTGTTTTCAGCTTCTCAAAGCACCTTGGTTCGCAGCAAATTCTGCTTCTCACGAACTCCATCTCTGCATGAGTTTGGGCCGCTTAAACATGGATTTTGGAAAGCAACATGCGCCAACCATCTTCACATACTAAAGAGAAGCGCTTGTCAACAAAAGAGAAGCTTTAAGGACTCCATGCGGTGTTCCGTCAAAATAAAACATTGATGGTGTAACATTTGTATATGAGGAAATTAAGACATCCATTAATATGAATAATTTATCAAATAAAAGTATTAGTTGTGCTATATGTCGGCACACTAACCTCAAGTCTGTCGGCGTTGAATATAATTTTTTTAAATATTTAGAATATATATTTTTTTAATATAGTAATAAAAATTATTTTAATTTTATAGACATATTGATAAATAATCTCACAATTTTAGCCAAATTCTGCAGCCCTACAAAAAGCATGCAAACTGGGATTTTTTAAAATCACATTTTAAATTGCAACCACAATTTGTACCAGAAAAATTGCAAAGGGTTAATGCGCAAAAAACTTCCATATTATGTAAAACAGGGCACATCACTGCTGTTTCTGGCCTTTTGTATGTGATTCGTTAAATATGGAGCTCTTTTAATCAAGACATTCAGATATTAAAATTTAATAAAATACAACCACCACCAACAACAACAACAACAAACCCAACTAGCTAGGTTAGCTGATTATATTTCCATTAAAGTCCATATATCATAAGTTCATACTGCTGTATACTACTTTCTCCGTCAAACAGATGCAAAGAGACTTATTTTCCAGGCTTGTCAGGTGGCATTCCCCATTAGATTTTTTCCCCCAAATCATGCAAGCCTACATGGTACCCTTGAGCAAAGCACTTAACCTCGCGTTGCTTCAAGAATGACGTTGCTGTAGTTCAACTACTGTAAATCACATCACATCAAACCATTCACCAAATAACATCAGATGAAGCCCAATTTGTGGCTGCGGTAGCTGAGGCCCCTGAAGTGCAGACCAGTGATGCTGAGCTCTCTGTCTCTTCATTTTAATATGCTCAGGATGGGCTCCTAGTAATCAAGACCGTCCAATGTTAGCGGGCGTTCAGTCAGGACATCTTCTCGCTTCAGATTTAATGTTCCTACTTCACTCTCTGCACGTATCCCAAAATTTCCAACAACTCTGCCTGTGTCCCGCTGCCACACAAAAGCCAGGCCCAGAGAACATCTGCTACCTTTAGATAGAAGAGGAATGTTTAGCATTCTAGCAAACAGGAAGACAAAACATAAAGCTAGTAAAGTTTCACAAAAGCTTTTGAAGTGTACTGTCTTTCGGGTCAAATCGGCTTATGCGGAGCTCCTGCGTGGTTGTAGGGTATGCTGGCTGTTTCAAAGGACCACCTGCTAAAAGTAATTAAGCTGTTTGACAGAAGGCTTGAGGGTGACTCATGCCCAGCAAGGGTGAGGCACATTTTCGTATTAAGGCCTCCCCAGCATTTTTTCAAAGTATATATCCCATAGGTCTGGTTTATGTGAAGTGTTGGTCAATTTAGTAATCCATTTAAATTTTCATTTTCATTCATATTTACAAGGCACCCGAGAATTACAGTGATTTTACCATGGTTAAGATGTGTTCTTGGACACAATGCAACAAACTCCTTAAGCTCTTAATAATAAAATACTTAAAGTTATTAAAACCACTCTGAACACCTTATAGCATAGCAGCACATTTTCTGTGAAAAGTTAAATAATAATAATAGACTTAATTCAATGTTTTGTGACATTTTGTATTTATGTTTTGTATTTTATGTCTTCAACATAATTTGAAGACACAAAGTTTTTAAATATCATTAATACACTATGGTTTAAAGTTTTTTTTTTAAAGGTAATAGGCTAATTTTATTAAGCAATGTTGCATTAAATTGATCAAAAGGTACAGTAATTTAATAATCTTACAAAATATTTCTATTAAAAAAAATGCTGTGCTTTTGAACTTTGTTCATCAAAGAATCATGAATACAATGCATTATGGTTTCCACAAGAATATTAAGCAACAAAAGCTGTTTTCAACATTGATA